CAAAAGTACCACTTTCAGATACTTGAACAATCTAAAGAAACAAAACCATACTGAGTTCAATGCTCAACATGTGCTGAATCAAAACCATTTCTGAAGACAGCCAAGTGTAATCTTAACACATCAAATAGGAGGAAAAAAGTACTGTAAACATGTTATCTTAATAAATATTTTTTAAAATGACACATTATTTTAGGCGCTTATCAGATATTATCTCAAAAACAATATATCACTTACTTCACAGTGCTGTGTACACATATCCCCCCAGGGGCAGATCCAGGATTATTTGAAGGGGCGGTCTGGAATGACAGGCCTCGGATTCAAAGCTGACCATCGCCCCCTTATTGTGGAGTTCGGGGCCACTCAAGGGCCCCGAAAAATTATTGGCGTTTTGGAGAGCAAACAGTGGCCTTTGATACAGTTAGATCTATGATTTAGCTAGTCGAAATTCTAATTTCAAGAGGGGAATATTGGTTTGATATATGTGACTCCCCTCTCTAAATCCGCCACTGTCCCCCTTCAATGATGATATACCTTATAATTGTTTGGCATGAACCCCCTGACCTTTCTATTTTATTGTATTTTATCTGATCTGGTTCGATCCTGCACAGACCTAATGACTTTTCCGTGTGGAAAGAGATTTGGTAGATAATGTATAATATACAGTTGGGTAAATGGCCTCCATTCACAATATTTCCTTTGGCAGAAGGATTTTCCAATAAGACAGATGAGGAATTGCGCTATGCATGCTAGTGTTCCATACAGGTCACTAGGGCTGTGCAGCAGATTGAGGTATGATGTGATTTAATATATTGGACATCAAGATAATTCTATATGGTGTAAATGTATGGGTTGACATATTTTAATTGCAAGTTTGTATACAAATATATGTGATATAGTTTGCAAGCAAATTATGATGTAGTTTGTATGTAAATTATTTATGGTATAGTAAGTATGCAAATTATTTGTGACATAAGTTATATAGTTAATGGTTGTACTGTAGATGTCAAATTTCAAAATAGATAATATGCCATGGTTATATTTATAAAAAGTTATTATAGGTATTATAAGTTATATTTCAGCTTATACTCTTTTTGCAGACAGACAGCCTTTTGTTGTTTTGCATAAGTAATGATTTTTATGGAAAAGCTAATTTACAAAAAAAAAATGTAAGATTGGCAAAAAACATAACAGAAGAAAATAATTTTCTAACAGAAATTTTGTTTGACGGGTGATATTTGAATATTTCCCAACTCAAATTTGTTTCAGACAAAAAAATCACATTTATAAATAACTAAAACTGTATTAAGCTTTATCCTCTTACCTCATGGTATATTGTGGGAATGTTTCTTTGAAATCCCTCATTTCTTTTTATTTTTCTGTTTCTTCTTTTTGATCAGTCACCAATCTGCTTCCTCCCCTCCCCCCCCCCACACACAATTCACATATCTCTCAATTACCCCCAAAATTAACACAAACTAATCAGATAATATTCCACTATTCTTTTCCTTATTTTCCCATCTCTATTACATGTTCTCTTAATGACATGGCATAGTCATTTATATTTCTTTCTTCCCTGTTATCTGCTTCATCAATTTGATGAATGTAGTACAGCAACAATCAGTCTGACTTCTCACCTCATAAAATTGTTTGACTTCCTGCTGGAATCATCTCAACTAATGACGTGATAACTGAACCACTGTATTTGGCTGTCCTGATATTGAATTCCTCTTTCTTTAGAAGTATTTGAATTTTTTTTTTTTTTTTTTTTTTTTTTTTTTTTTTTTTTTTTTTTGGGGGGGGGGGGGGGGGGGTGGTTTTTTTGGGGGTGTTGTTTTTTTTTTTTTTTTTGTTGTTTTTTTTTTGG